ATTTCCATAATGCATTTGGCTCTGTTAAGTTGACAAGTGTCATGACCTTAGTACAGTTGGACTCTGAGGGAGAGGAGGAACAGCCGACAGGTAGTGGAGGTGTGGCTCTGGTGGTTGTGGAGGAGGCTGGAGAAGGGCAGAGGCCAGCTAAGCAGTCCGAGGAAGAACTAGACCCATTCCCCTCTGTATCCTAGGACATGCAGGGAGAAACAGAGGAAACTTGGCTTACGAGAGAGGAAGCGGCCATGATCCCCCTTATCGGTTGCAGCTGGGGAGAATAGTATATAAGAGAGACGATTACAACAGTGTTGCCAGAAGCAAAGCATGTTTTATTTTGGGCTGAAGTTATCTTGGTTGGCGTCCTTCCAACAGACTGTGCCTTGTTATCTCCTTGAATTTGGTGATTACTTATCCTGGTCCGTTGTGGAAATTTCATCATTGTAGTTTGTTTGGTTTTTTATTTCACCTCTATCTGCTCATTAAGTTCGGACTGTACTGCTTTCTTTTGAAGACTGTTTTTGAGTACGTTTTATCTCCAACTGAGAATTATTGAACAGTGGGACGAAGTTGGAGGCATTAAAGGACATTTATTTGCGTTTTGGATTTTGTTACATTTGTGTTACACTCTGGGTCATCACACCAAGGTTGGAGGCCCCTGGCTTGGTATATACCTCTGCATTTCTCTGTATGCAGCAAACCTGGAGCTGCTGCTCCTGAGAACAGGTTGGTGGCAGGGGTGGGATTTAAATTTTTCAACAACCGGTTCTGTGGGCGTGGCTTAATTGGTGGGCGTGGCTTGGTGGTCATGTGACTGGGTGGACATGACTTGGTGGTCATGTTATTGGCTGGCCATGGTCAACTCAATATCACTCACATCGTAGCATGCATCTCCTCTACTGGCCTCTCATGACTGTGGGGATGCTACAATAGTCGTAAGTGTGAAAAAGGGTCATTAAGTCATAAGCCATTTTAAATGGCTACCTCCACACAAGCAAAGTACCAGCAAAGGAGAGAAAAAAACTCCAGAGAAGTTCCTGAGACAGTCCTTCCAAGAATGTAATAAGGGTTAATGGACAGGCAGTTTCTGCAAGCAACACCAGAATGTTTCCTTCCTGCCTTCCTTACAGGATTAGTCCATTAATTTCTTCTAACAACTGGTTCTCCGAACTGCTTAGAATGTTAACAACCGGTTCTAGCGAATAGGTGCGAACTGGTAGAATCCCACCCCTGGTTGGTGGGATACCATTCAGAAAAAGTCCTCCTCCTCCCTTTCGCGAATTAAATGCAGGTGACTTTTAACTAGGCATTCAAGCATGACAATATGAATTGGATCAAAATATTTGTGCTAGAAGGCCTTTCCCCAGTGTACTGAAAAATATTGATAGGTTCGTACTTAGGGAGAGCTTTTACAGCCAATTTTCTCACCAAGACTCGGTGCCTTTTGACTCTTAATGCAGCGTAACACAAAGGCTGAGATTTCTGCTCTAGTTTAGTACTTCAAAAATCTTCCTCCTCCCAAGCTGCTGTTTTTCACAAGAGCCTCCAGGGCTGTTTCTGTTTGCTGTCTGAATGTTTCCAAGCAGGGGTGTCTCTGTGTGTGGGTTGAAAAAGTCCAGGAGGCAATCACAACCGCAAGAGTCATTCTTTGTGTGTGTGTTTGTTGCCAATAAAATCATGCCATCGTGGCTGCCATCTTGACTTTTTAGGACACACACACACACACACACCTGTGCTCCTATAGAAAGATGTTATGGGCTGCATCTACCTGGACTCACCTGTTCATCTCTGTAATAAAAACTGAAATCTTTCTGTTTTGTGTCAAGTTTTCCCCCCTCCTACTATGCTAGACCTGAATGTAAGTCAATTAGCGGCCCTGGGAAAAAAGACAACCATGACAGTTTAATTCAGTTCTAATGACACTTAAGACCAATACTTGAAAACACAAAAACTTTTATTTCAGCTTTGAGATAATTAAGAGGCTTTCAAGAAACATGCCTTGACTGGCAAGTTCGGTAGGATTTATTGATATAAAGGCTTTGACAAAGAGAATAATTTTTAATACTCACAATACCCATTGGTCCTGAAATACATAAAACTTGGAAAGGGTATCTTGAGCTGGGTGAAAAGCTGCAATTCCCTAATGGGGAGAATGGCTTTTTCTTGTAGGAAATTCTCATCTTCATTCCTTGCTGGGTTGATTTCAAAGTGTGAATGTAGCATAAAACCTATGTAGGGTTAGAGGTTGTAAAACTGCCTCCTCAAGGAAGGCAGTAGGTTGTATAGTTAACTCCTGATTGGGGCAAAATTACTACCCTGAAACCACACAACCTACTACCTCACCCTGCTGGAAAGCTGGATGAACCCTCAGCTTATCTTGATCTTATAATCCTGGATCTGGTTCCTCCTCGGTGGGAAGATCAGGAGAAACTTGGGGATAACTCTGACTCGCATGATTTGGTCATGTGCCGTCATGCTTCCTTTCTGATTTCAAGTTACAATATACAGTTGGAAAAGAATAAAGAACATTGTGGATGGATGTAAACGTGATGTTGAATTATATACCTAAAAGAGGAAAATTGGTATTTTGTGAAGAACTCGTGCTATTAAGTCTGGAGCTTGGTTAAGAATTGTTTTACCCAGATAAGAAAAATGTACCCTCCTGAAGTAGGGAGTAAATTTAAGAGCAGTGTTCTTTATAGATTTTTGAAATGTTTTTTATATTCTAAAACTGAAAAGGTGGCTCAGATGTTTTCATATGGTCTAGTTTTAATAATAAGGCTTAAATTAATATATGGACATCCCATGGACCTCACTTTTTCCCTTAGTTTCTTGTTTTCTTTTTTCCAGTTTATTTAAAACATTGTAATATAAACTGTAGTTTCTTACTGCGTGATCACTAATGGACAATTCTTTTTGTTAGTTGTACATTATTAATAAAATTTAAAAATATTTAAAAACATTAGGTTGCAAGATCACTGGGAAAACCAGGAACTGTATAAGTGAAAAATTTAAACAAATGATAAAGAAAGCAACAATATTAGCACCTTCAGGGACCTCCTCATCTTAAAGCTCTGGATCATCACCTAACTCTGAGGAATTACCTCACAACCTCCTCTTTCTCCTCCTCCCATCAGCTGAATTCAAAACTTAACTGTAATGGGAATGTCTCCTGATCTGCAGTCTGCCACCCAAGAGCACTGACTAGGAATAATTCTAGTCAACATCAATTTTGGGATAGCCATTCCATTACTTTTAGACTGATACTTGCATCCACTTGGGAAGTTTTAAAGCTTTTAGGTAATTACTATGCAAAGGAAAATATTTTTTTGTCCTCTTAAATTCTGCAAGAGGTTTTTTTTTTCCTTTCTGGAAAAAAACCCCAGTCCATTGTTAAGTTAAATTTATAAATCTGGAACCAAGGAGAGTTCATTCTGTGTACAGTGCACACAAAAAGACATGATTGGGGACTGGGGTATCTGTGGGGTGTTTGAGTGTGTATGTGTGCTGTGGCAAGTGGAAAGAGGTGGGGTGCAGCCACCATCATAACATCAGGGGATTTATTGTAAGAAACAGGCTATAGGACTGTAATGTTGCTCAAATTTCTAATATTTCACTGTATCTTCTATCTAAGCATAATAATAATAATAATAATAATAATAATAATAATAATAATAATAAT